AGTTCAGCAAAGTGATGGAACCACTCTTCCGCCAGCTTGCCAAGTGTGTCTCCAGCCCCCATTTCCAGGTGAGACCCACCCCCAGCACATCCCAGCCTATGCCTCCCAGAAACCGAGGAGGGTCTGCAGCAAAGCAAGCCGCAGCCTCGCTGAGTCCCGCCTGTCCCCACCAGGTGGCAGAGCGTGCTCTCTATTACTGGAACAACGAGTACATCATGAGCCTGATAAGTGACAATGCTGCCCGAGTCCTCCCCATCATGTTCCCTGCACTCTACAGGAACTCCAAGAGCCACTGGAACAAGTAGGGGCTCGGGTGGGCATGGGTGGTAGGGATTTGCTTTTGGGACTTATGAGGGTCTCACCCGGTCACTCAGCAAGTGGGGCTGGTGCCCGCTGCACGCTGATAGGACCTTAAAGAGGCAGAAGCTATCTATGTGAGAGGGCCCCAGCAGAGCAATGGCCTGCACTACATCTTTTCTTGCAGTCAGATATTCTGCAGCTTTGGAGACTTGATTCCATGCTGTGAGAAGCTGGTATGAGCCTCTTAGCGTATGTGCTGAATCCCTGTGTTGTACAGAGGCTTTCCTGCTAAAAGCAGGTGCACTATGGTGTAGATGCAGTCCATCAAGTTGCTGAGGCCATGAGTCGGGGCTGGAGAATGGGTAGGAAGTGGTGGGAAGCAGGTAGGAGGGGTGGGGCAAGGAAGGACTGGTGGACCAATATTTGTAAAGGCCCTAAAATGCCAACCTTAAATCACCTGACTTGGCCAGAGAGATGAGTTTACACTGTGCAGAGGTGTGAAGTGGGGTAGTAAATGAGAAAGCTTTTAGCAGAGATAACCGCCTACGAGACAGCAAGGTGGTGTTCTGGCACTAGGAGCAGGCTCTGGCCTCCTACACCTCATCTTTCTTCTTGGGGCAGGACAATCCATGGACTTATCTACAATGCCCTGAAGCTCTTTATGGAGATGAATCAGAAGCTGTTTGATGATTGCACACAACAGTACAAGGCAGAGAAGCAGAAGTGAGTATCTCTCCACTTGGGGGACTTTCATCTTTCCTCAGCAGCCTCCTTGGCTTCTCTCAAGCCTACCCCCAACCCTGTCTGTGCTCCTTTAGGGGCCGGTTCCGAATGAAGGAAAGAGAAGAGATGTGGCAAAAGATAGAGGAGCTGGCCCGACTTAATCCCCAGGTGAGGTTTTTTTGCTGCCACCCTGAACCAAGGGGCCCATCTTGGGCTTGGGGAGGGTGTGTTTGAGGAGGAACATGAAGCAGGCAGGTTCACAAATTCCCGGTGTGGCACTCACTCATGCGCCTGCCTACTTTCCTTCTCAGTATCCCATGTTCCGAGCACCTCCACCACTGCCTCCTGTGTACTCGATGGAGACAGAGACCCCCACGGCAGAGGACATCCAACTTCTGAAGAGAACAGTGGAGACAGAGGCCGTGCAGGTGGGAGGGCATGGAGGGAGGGGGGGCCAGAAATCAAAGACAGCTCTGGAAGGGAGAGAAGACAGGAGCAGCAGAATCAAATAAGGGGAGGAGACAAAAGAACTGCTTGGAAGTTGGTTGCCACGTCTTGCCTACTCCCTGTCCACACACAGATGCTGAAAGACATGAAGAAGGAGAAAGTGCTGCTTCGGCGGAAGTCAGAGCTGCCCCAGGATGTGTACACCATCAAAGCACTGGAGGCACATAAGCGGGCAGAGGAGTTCCTAACTGCCAGCCAGGAGGCTCTCTGACCCCCTCACCTTCCCACCACAGGGCCACAGCCCATTCAGCCCTGGGACGCTGCCCCGCCCTCCACCCTCTGCTCCCCACTGGCTGAATTGGGGCAAGGCAGTGTCTCTCAAGCTACTCTAGAGAGAGGATGCGGGCATGTGAAGCAGGGACTCCCCCGTCCCTCTTCTCCCTAAAATGTGTTCCTCGCCTCCCTGTGGCTAGTACAGACAGGCTGAGCACTGAGATGCTCAGTATTCAGACAACTTGGGGATGCCTGTCCCCCTCCTGCTCCTAACCCTACGGCTACCTGAGGCTGCTGAGAAATACACAAGGAATACATACGCTCCTCTTCTCTTCCCTTCATCCCCATTTGAACTCTAGGCATCTCCTCTCCCTCCCCTGAGAGGTACATAGGGAGCAGCAGGAGATGATCTTCACCAAAGTTACGTCAAGCCCCACTGGCCCCTGGAATGAGGAGGCCAGCCCCCAACAGCACAAATAGGCCCCCAGCCACAGCAGTGTGCAGGCTGATGGGTTGTATTATTTCCTCTTACCCCCAGCCTGACCAAGACGCCAAGAGGCCAAACGGAGAAAAGTATAACCATGGACAATAGGTGATGGATATTGTAGGGCCCTGACGGACCGGAGAAGGGAATGAACGAACACCTTACCCTGTGCCCCCTCTTTAGTGAGCAGCAGCCCCAGGATCACAGACATAGAAGGGACCACCCTGGGGCTGATTGCTTTCCTGTGCTGTTGGTTCCCAAAGCTAGGAGAAAAGAAGCAGGGAGCGATGCCCCAAGCATGGTTCCCCCCAACACCTATTTATTTCTCTGTGCTGATGCTGGGAAGGCCAGCCCTTACTTGTTCCTTTCAGACACCCTGGATTGGGGCAAGGGGCTGAGGAGGGCCACACCCAGGTTCCAGGGGCACAGGCAGTGCAGCTTTTGGCTGTGTACATAGGGTGCTTTATTCTCCACAGAGTGATACATGCTACGGTGGGTTGGGCTTGGGCCAATGTCCCCATATGTACAGAAATGAATAAAGTGGGTCTCTGAGAAGAAGTCTGATTTGCCTTGATGTGGAAAGGGAGATGGGAGGATGGAGATACATATGACAACCAGGGGTGTGTTCAGTCCTGTGCTGGTTCCGGCCTGGAATGCAGGGAGATAAGGCAGCTCTCAGGGTGGTCACTTCCACGCAGGGGTTGCCTGCCGGGCTTGGAGGGCCTTCTGCACCACATCTTCCCACTGGGCATCTGATATCTCCCGAGCCCAGGCAGGCACCCCTGGCGCAGGCAGGCTTACTCCAGCCATCGTCCTCTTCACCAGCTCTACATGTTCTGAAATCATAGCCAGAGACCAGTCAAAGGATAGAAATAATCGAACCAGCTACCCTCCCGCCGAGTCCTCAGAGGAGCCCATCACTCTCAGGCTAGCACGGTTCATCTAGTTATTTCTTTTTTTTTTTTTTTTTTAAATTGCTGTTAAGTTTTTTTTTTGTTTTTTTTTTAAGATTTATTTATTTGTTTATACATGCACTGGGCACAGTCAGAAGCGCGGGAGGGTGAGAGAATTCACCAGAGCCAGAGTGGGGAGCAGAGCAGGCAGAAGGACCGAAGTACACTGCTGAGGGGAGCAGCGGGCAGCAGGAGAGGTCTGCGCGCCATGCGGGACCCTCCTCCGGTGGTGGCCGGGGAGCAGCCGGGGATCGAACCAGCGCCGCAGAGGCTGCAGGCAGCTTCACAACCCAGCGCTCAACCGCTGCACCACCGGTGAGGCCCATCTAGTTATTTCTAGGCAAACCTGCCAGTCCCTAAGTCTAGCAGATTACCGTTTCACCTGAATTCTTAAATCTGCAAAACCTCAGCTTAAAATTAACTTTTCGGAAAAGGGTGTTCTTCTGTGATTCTGGCTCTTTTAGTCCGTTCCTTTCCTCCGTAATTATTCCAGAATGAAAGACTGATCTGTTATACCTGGGTCCATGGGAATAGAGCTGTGGTTGCTGAATGCTGTAGCTCCCTCTTCATCTTCATCCTCACTCTCTAATGGTGGGTCTGGCAAATGAAGCCCCAGAGCCTGCTGAGCCAGAGAAGATAGTTTAGGGGCAGCCCCTTCAAGGATCCCACCTTCACCTACACAAGAACAGTGCTTCTCTCCACCATACCTGGATCCTATCCTGGATATCAGCAACTACATCTTCTCCATCCCCCACTGGCGCCAGCTCCACCTCTTCTTGTTCAGGATCTTGGTTCAAGGGCTGGTAGGAGTAGCCAGCTGGGCCTGCCCCGTTTTCCTCCTGCTCTTCTTCAGGCTCCTCACTGCTCCAATCCCCAGTGCCTTCTGTAGGGCCTTGTTGCGGCCCTAGTTCCTCAGTGTGATTGGGGAAGATACGCTCAGGGCCCATGGTGTCTCCTCCTAGAACTACTGCTGCCATCCGGGCAGGGGCTGCAAAAACAAGGAGGCAGGACAAGTACTGGATGAAATAAGGTCCCCTCTCAGCCTCTCATTCAGCTCCTCGTAGTGTCTTGCATCTACAAACCACTTCAACGCGCCCAAGCTTCCTGCACTGCACCCCACTCCATCCCAGCCTCTCCAGTGTGGGCCCCCCACCTAAGTATGCTCTTAACTAGCACCAAGGCCCACCCCACTTGCTCCGCCAATTCTTAAACAACAGCCCAACCGGGGCCCAAATGTCACCCCGTCCAGAATCCTGCTCCCCAACCCCCCACGCCTGACTTGGGAACTTCGGGTAGCCAAACAGGCTGCCTCGAGCCAGGCGTACCCGCCCCTTCCCCGCCCCCCCCCCGGGGTCCCCTCTATACCGCCTGACAGCGCCCTTCAGGCCCCAGATGCTTCCCTCCAAGGGCCCCAGCTGCGATGTCTCCCACCCGCCCCCACCGAGTCTCGGCGCCGCGGTCGCCTCGCGCCTCACCCGCTCGGAGCCCGCCGTGGAACCCGCGCCTCCACTTCCGGCCGGGCAGGACGCGCCGGGCTCCCGGCTGCCAGCCCCGCCCGCGCCGCGCCGGACGCCCGAGGCCCGAGGCCCGCCCCTCGCGCCCTCGCCCTCCCCGCGCGGACGGCCAAGGACTACATTACCCGGGAACCCCCACCATTTTTTGACAATCGTCTGCTGACGCGCAGAGCCCCGTGCGGGCCCTGCCCACTCCGCCGCCCCTCACAGCCCCTCCGAGCCCCGCGGACTACAAGTCCCGGGAGGCCCCGGGGACGGCGCCGGGGCACGTGCGCCCGCAGCCCGCCGGAAGGACCGCGGCCGCCGTGTTTATCTCGTTGGGCATCGGGGCGTCAGTTGGCTGCAACGGGTTCCAGCCTGCAGGCAGCGCGAGGAGCCGCGGCCCCGCCCCGGCCCGGCCTGGCAGGTAGCCCGGGAAGGCCTGGGGCGCCGGGAAAATTGGAGGGGCTGGGGACGCCCTTTCCTGGCGTGGGGGGGAGGGGCCTGAGGGATGGGGTGGGGGTGGGGTGGGGGGAGAACCGGGAGCACCGAGGGCGAGGAGCGCGTTCGTGGGGAAGACGGGCCGGGGAGGATGGTGAGGAAGCGGGTGAGCGGGACCTGCTGGCTGGAGGGACGCTGGAAGGACTTGGAAGGCGGCTGGCTTAGGAGGGAGACGGAGCCGAGGAATGAAAGGAAAGGGGAGGGGGTTGGCGGAGGAGGGGTTCGGGGTGCCTGCGAGACGGGGATAGCGTCATGTGTAGGCAGGAGTATCTCTGTCCAAAAGAGGTTAATGAATCTTAGCTTTTCCCCCTGGGGGACGAGGGAAAATGGAGGGCTGCCGAGGTGGAGCTCGGAGTGGTGGGAGAAGGAAAACCGAGAAAACTGCAAAGCTCTCCGGAGATCAAAAAGGGCCAGAAATGGGGATTGAAAATTGCAGGAAGCCAGGGAGGGTGGTAGGTACATGAAGGGAAGAAGTTTGAGATGCGGCAACGGTGGAGGATTGTGGAGACCCAGAGATGAGAGGAGCCCTTGAGCTCTTGGGGGCTTGTTCTCCCTGATCTTGAGTTATCCTTATGGAGGAGAAGCTAAGATTCTCCACCTTTCGATGGAAATGCCTCTGTCTTCCCTGTGAATTCTTTACCTTGACATAGCTGAAAGGGGGGGAGGGGGGTTGTAGAAGGTATAAGGGAAGATGAAGGACTCCCTTGCTTAAGCTTTTCAACCTCCCATCTGTCCCCACAAGGCCTGACCCAAGATCTTTTGGATTGAGGACAGGAGTAATGGATTGAGAGTGGTTTCCCGCTGGGGCTATTTCAGGTTTGGTAGGGTGGCTATTTAAAGCATGGGGTGGGGGGTGGAGGAAGATTGGGTGGGGGTGCTGGCAGGCCAGCTGAAAGCCATGTCTCCTGCAAGGGGCCTCCCTTACATGAGCTTTCTCTGGGCCTGAGGTTCTGCCTGGCTCTTCTCTCTGCCAAGGATAGATAATCCATCCAAAACCCAGCAGGTGCCTGCCAGCGAAGGCAGTGCCAGTTGCAGAAGGGTTTGTCTGACAGAGCCTTCAAATGTACCCATTATCTTTATTTGGCAGGTTGTCTTTGAGAGACCATGATCTCTCTTGCCTGGGTCTTTTTCTTGTTCTGCCCAAGTGCATTTTGGCTTCCCATTGTCTTTCCAAGGCACTCTGCCACCCCTTCCCCCTCCCAGGGACCCAAGTGGGAGAAGAGCTGCTGGAAACAGCTTGTTCTCTACCACAGTAGCAGGCTTGGAGAAGTGGCTAGAGAGAAAACCCCTCCCCCTCACCACCCCCACTCCCTCAACCTCCAGCAGATACATACCTTTCTGGCTTAAAGTTCCTAGTCTTGGCAGCATACCAGGCACAGCTGTCAAAGGAACTCTTCGTGCCTGTGAGGGGCCCTGGGTGACCCTGATGAAAACAGCTCAGCTTGACAAGACCTCCTTATGAGGAGCTAATCATCCATGGTAACATAGGTAACATAGAGATCCGTGCCCTGGATCAGTCCCACCCTGACCTGTATGGGGGGCTGTTCCACTCAAAAAAACTAAAAGCTTTTCTACTTGGAAGCACCCATGCCAGCTTTCAATGGACCGTCTGGGGCTGGCTGAGCTATTAATAGCTCTGAGTATTTTGAGATCCCTCTCCCCACCTTAAAGAGCACAGAGATTCTTAGAGAGGTGGCAGTAAGCAGAGCAGAGCCAGAGAACAGAAGGGAGAGACCAGAAGGCACCAGGCCTGCAAAGGGGGCCTGGAGCTTGTTCCAGGCCAGGGATAGGGTGGAGCCTCCATAAGTAGGGGTGACCATGCTGAGTCCTTGGTCAGCAAATTCTGAGCTGGCATTCAGGTCGGACTGGCCCCACCCTTTGCTGTTGGAGAACACAGGGCCAGCACCAGCTCTCTGACCTCAGGAGCTCCCCTGGGGCAGGGCCAGCCACCTGAGCTGCAGAGGGGTGGTGTGGGAGGGCCATCAGGGTGACACAGGCAAGGGCTGGTCCTGGGCAGAGTCACGTTGGGCCGGGCAAAGACCTTGCCTGAGGCCCGTGGCCCTGATTTGTATGCAGGTAGCAGAGGCAGCAGGCCGTGCCGGGGGGGCATGTTGCTGTAACCAGTGGCCCAGGGGATGTTACGGTGGACAGTGCACCTGGAGGGCGGGCCCCGCAGGGTGAACCATGCTGCAGTGGCTGTTGGGCACCGGGTGTACTCCTTCGGGGGCTACTGCTCTGGTGAAGACTACGAGACGCTACGTCAGATTGATGTGCACATTTTCAATGCAGGTAAGCTGATGCTGGGACCTGCCCTGAGCGTCCACATCAGGGAGGGGAATGGGTGGCTGGCTAGTGAGAGCTGGTGGTGCTCCCTGTGACCAAAGGGATTGGGGAATGGAAGTCTGGTTTGGGAAAAGGTAGACAGCCTGGAGGGAAGTTCCCAGGGCTGAGCAGAGCTGTGCCCACAGTGTCCTTGCGCTGGACAAAGCTGCCCCCGGTGAGGCCCGCTGCCCGCGGGCAGGCTCCTGTGGTACCCTACATGCGTTATGGACATTCAACCGTCCTCATCGATGACACAGTCTTCCTTTGGGGCGGGCGGAATGACACCGAAGGAGCTTGCAATGTGCTTTATGCCTTTGATGTCAGTGAGTATGAGTCTCAGAGAGACTATGTTCTGCCAAATGGTACCTCATGTGGCTGGGAAAGGTATGGGCCGAGGGTGCTGGGAATAGGGCCCCCTGCCCCCCATAGTCTAGGAGGGAATGTCAGAGGTTGCTCACCCGGGCCGTTCTCTTACCTTTTTCAGATACTCACAAGTGGTCCACACCCCGTGTGTCAGGAACAGTTCCTGGGGCCCGGGATGGACATTCGGCTTGCGTTCTGGGCAAGACCATGTACATTTTCGGGGGCTATGAGCAGCTGGTAGGTTTGGGAAGAAACTAGAGCTATAGGGTGGGAATGACAAAGAGGAAGGGGAGTTGAGAGTGCTGGAATGGGAGGCTTTAGCTTGTTTGCATGTTGAGGGGATGGATAGAGGGCCTTGGTGGGAGGTCACTAACCCCCTCTTTTATTCCTCCCTCACTTCCTTTTCCTACTCAGGCGGACTGCTTTTCCAATGATATTCACAAGCTGGACACTAGCACCATGACATGGACCCTTATCTGTACAAAGGTTTGCCATTTCTTCCTCCCAAATCCTCACCCTCGGTTGAAGAAATTATAGGAAGTGCAAACAGTGACAGCAGTTCCCCCTCATCCTCCATGCTCACCCCCCCCCCCAACTTCATCTCTCTCTCTCTCTTGTCCAGGGTAATCCTGCACGCTGGAGGGACTTCCACTCAGCCACAATGCTGGACAGTCTTATGTATGTCTTTGGGGGCCGTGCAGACCGCTTTGGGCCATTCCATTCCAACAATGAGATTTATTGCAACCGCATACGAGTCTTTGACACCAAGACCGAGGCCTGGCTGGACTGTCCATCCACTCCGGTGCTTCCTGAAGGACGCCGGAGCCACTCAGCCTGTAAGTGTCTGGTGTATCCCTTCAGACTCCCCCTTTTTGCTCATTGTCCCCACACTCTTGACGTTCCTCTCTCCTTCCAGTTGGCTACAATGGGGAGCTATACATTTTTGGTGGCTATAACGCAAGGCTGAACCGGCACTTCCATGACCTCTGGAAGTTTAACCCTGGTAAAGAGCTCTGCCTTTAGAGGAGGAAAATAGGAGCATTTGATGGGGGAGGAAAAGAAAAGAGTAATCCTGAGTAGGTGAGGGGTGGGAGACAGAAAGGTTATCTGGATTGGGCAGATATTGAACCTCTGTATAAACTTCTCTTTAGTGTCCTTCACCTGGAAAAAGATTGAACCGAAGGGGAAGGGGCCATGTCCCCGCAGGCGCCAGTGCTGCTGTATTGTTGGTGACAAGATTGTCCTCTTCGGGGGTACCAGGTTCGTAGGAGAGAGGGTGCGCTCAGGAATGGACCTAAGTCTGTGGTTAACATGGGAGGTATTTGAGTGGAGAGTCTCATGGGTCATCTTTGTTCTTTTGCTGCCTGCAGTCCGTCTCCTGAAGAAGGTCTGGGAGACGAATTTGACCTCATAGATCATTCTGACTTACACATTTTGGACTTTAGTAAGTATGCTATTTCCAAAGGCATCACTGAATCCTAGTCTTTGGGTGGCGACATCCAGAACTGGGCTTTAACATCTTCTCCCCCACTCCTTTAAAGGCCCTAGTCTGAAGACCCTGTGCAAACTGGCCGTGATTCAATTTAACCTGGACCAGTCCTGTTTGCCCCACGACATCAGGTATAGCAAGTGGTTGGAAAGATGGGGGATCGGTTTAGAGTGAGTAGGCAGCACAGGCATGACCTGATTAGCTTGCTCTGGCTGGAAAAGATAAAATTTTTTATTCTGTTGGACTTACAGTCTACATGTGGAGAATAAGGTAGAAGGAGATCTAAAACTGTCAACTGGGTAACTTATATGAAAAAGTCCTATTTTTTTTAAAGATTTATTTATTTATGCATACAAGAACTGGGATGTAGGTCAGAGGTGCAATGGGTGAGAGGATTCACCAGAGACCGTGGGGAGCAGAACAGGTGGATCTACTAAAATAAACTGCTGAGGGGAGCAGTGGGCGAGACAGGAGAGGTCTGCTGCACCATGTGGGTCAGCTCCCTGGCCAAGGATCAAACTCATGTTGCAGTAGCCAGTGATAGCTTGATAGTCCTGAGACTTTAACCCCTGCGCCACCAGGGAGGCCCAAAAAAGTCCTGTTTTTAAAATGAAGTTCAGAATTATCACTTCCTGAGATCAGAGCCCATACATTTGTTTTTGTTAACATGCTGAGAAAGTTTGATTAAATCTTAAAACCTAACTGCAAAGTAAAAACAAGCTTAGGAGCCTCTGGATCACATTAGTTATAGAATTGAGAAGTCCTTCCTAGCTACTTCCCTTTGAATTCCATGTCTAAGTCACCGAAAAGTTATTTTGTGTGTAACTCTGCCTTTCTGGATCATTCCGAGATACTTCCCTCTCCTTGTGTCAGTTCGGTTTAACTCTTAGTTGCGGAGGGTCTATGTGTTCAGTGTTTGGTGACCTGGAATGTGCAAGGCTGAATTGATGTATCCCGGGCTAGCTAGGCTTAATACATGCAAGTACCTAATGCCAGGTAGATTGCAGTGAGGCATAAGTGGCATTAGGAGCTACTTGATGAATCTTTGTAGAAAGAATTGTCCAAAACAGAGGGAGAGATTTAATTTTAATATGGTGGAACAAGTGGGGTAGGGAGGAAGGCATTACAAACATGAGAATTGACAATGAAAACAGGCATTCTTGGTGGGATGTGGAGTGACTGGTTGAATCTTAGCACAGGAGGAAAGGTAGGTTGGGAAGTTTACTGAAATGTGTACACAGATGCTTCCCTCCAGGTGTTGGACACAGCAGTATATTTAGAAACATAAACAGAAGTCCTCATGAGCTTGTAGGTGGAGGAGTGGGTGGTACTCTTCTGGTGGTGAGTGAGGCATGACTGTTAAAGCTAGTAGGTAGGGGTATGAGGAAGAGGTGGCTGGGGTAGTTAAGCTTTAGAGGGACTCGTGTTTTATAGCTTTGTTGGAGCAATTCTGGGCTTGAGGGTGAAGCTCCATGTTCTGTCCTTTCTGCTTTTCCTGTTGTCCTTCTAGGTGGGAGCTGAATGCCATGACCACCAACAGCAATATCAGTCGCCCCATCGTCTCCTCCCACGGATAGGAGGACATTTCTGCCACTTCCCCTCCTGAGCCTGCTGTTGTCTTCACTGCCCCTACCCATCTCTCACCTGCCTGCCCCTTTGGATACTGGACTCGATATACCTCCATGTGGAGTTGTTGGACTAGAGGTGTCTTCTGTGCTGTGAACTCAGTGGGGAGCTATGGGGGGCGGGGGCAAGGTCCCTCCCCGCCCCGTGGGCCAAGGGCCCCTTCCCCTTGGTGCTTTGTCCCATTCACCTCCCTCCACTGCTCCTGGGTCTCTGTTCTGCCTCAGACCAGCCACTCTGCTGGGAAGTGAAGAGAGTGGGGGAAAAGGGAGAAGCAAGCGGTGTCTGAGCCACAGGAGCTTCCCCCACCACCACCTTATTTCCACCCCCTCCCCTTGCTTGAGCCACAGGCATTGGTTAGGAGCTGAGGAGCTGCAGCTGTTGGCATGAAACCTTATTCCCTCCCTGACCTGGGAGGCGAGGACCAGCAGATAACCCCACCCCGCCCTGAGCTGTTGCTGTACCCTGTCGCTCTCAGCCAGCTCAGATTTTATAAAAATGAATCAGAAACTTATTAACGTGTGGTCTGGTTTTGTGGAGTGGGGTGGGGGCGGAGACGTCTGCAAGCGGGCAGGGTGCTGAGAAGGGGTGCCCCTGAGGCTCTGGCTTCTCAACCGAGAGCATTAAGAAACCAAATGCGGCCCCGGCCTGTGCCGGGTTTCTCTTAGACCCGGACGCAGCGCCATGAAAAGGGGGCGTTTTCCGCTCTTTCGTCAAGTTGTGAGGCCCGAGCGCCAAGGCCGCCGGAAGGGGCGGGGCCCGCGCCGGAAGTGGCGCCATTTGTCCTCGAGCAGCCACGCGAGCCGATGCCGAAAGCGAGCCCCCGCGCCGGGGCGGCCGCCAGGTCTCCCCGCGGGGCACGGGGCGGCAGGGACGATGGCGCGGGCCCGGACCTGCGGCAGGGTGAGGACACGGAGGCGGGCGAGGGCCATCGTGAGCGCGGCGGACGGAGAGCGCACCGTGTGCGGCCGGCGCCGAGCCAGAGACGCAGCTCGCGCGTGACGCCAGCCTCCCAGAGCCGGGCGGACGCCGGACGCGGCGGCGCCCTGGAAAGGGGGGTGTGCGAGGGGCGCTGGCTGTGCTGTTAGGACGTCCCGAGCGGTTTCTCAAAGAGAGGATGGAGGTTTTCCGCAGGGAGCAAACATGTGCAGAAATAGCTCGGAAAGGGCATGGGCTGCTGGGGAAGGGCCCCGCAAACATTTATGGAGCATCTTGCTTGTAAACAAGCACAGGTGCTGGAGAGAGGGTGGTAAATAAAGCATTCAAAACCTGCCCTCGTGGAGCCTGCCTTTCGGAGACAGTACTGGTCTAGGTCATTTGGGTGCTCTCAGACCATTATGAAGCCTAAGGCTTTTACTCACAGCAAGGTGAAAGCCTTTGGAGAATTTTGAGTTCTAGGATAGCACAATCTGAAGTATGTGTGTGTGTTTGTAGGAGAAGAGATGATACAATCAGATTGCATTTTAGATGCCGCCAGTTGAAGTGGGGAGCATGGCTTTGGGGGAGTGAGATTTGTGGTGGGGCAACCAGTTAGGAAGTGCGAGCACTGCCTGAGAGGTGCTGACAGTATGAACTGGAACATTGACAATGGTACTAAGCAGGGAAAACAGAGGCTCTGGAGAACCCTCTTCAAAGAGGGTGGAGGGGCTTTCCTGGTGGCACAAGGAGTTAAGTCTTAACACTATCAAGTTAGCAGCAGCCACTGCAGTAGAAGTTCGATCCCTGGCAGGGGAACTGACCCACATGGAGCAGCAGACCTCTCCTGTCTCACCCGCTCCTCCCGTCAGCAGTGTATTTCAGTCAGTTCGCCTGTTCTGCTCCCCACTTTGTTTCTGATGAATACTTTTACCACCAGCACCTACCCCCTCAACACATACACACACCTACACACCTCCGGTCTACACCCCAGTTCTTGTATGCATAAATAAGTCTTAAAAAAAAAAAAAAGAGGGGGGGTGTCTGGAAAACAAGGGTACTGTGGCTTATTCTAACTCTGACCTTACATATACACCCACCTTAGCAAGGTGAGGCCTCAGGTAGCTGGAACAGCTAGGGATTTCTTTGGCAGCATAGCACCATTATAGCCTGTGCTGTCTGGGACTTGTGACTAGTCTGATATTGGAAAGGATAACTTACTCAAGGAGTATCTTTGTATCAGTGGGAAATGCTGAGCTGAGTTGTGCTCCTCCACCACCCTTCCACAGACACATCAGACATGTCATTTGAGGAGCTGTTGGAATTACAGCATCAAGTGGAGACTAAGGCATACAAACAATTGGCAACTGGAAACAGCAAGAAGAAGCAAGGTTCTAGACCACCTGTCCAAAGTGCATGTGTTGCAGATAAGCACAGGTGAGAAGCAAGACCTTGAGGGGCGCTCTGCTTTCTTGGGTGGCAGGTGGGAGACCTTTAACCAAGACTGGAATCCCTTTGACCTTTAATTTCTCCATAGGCCACTGGAAATGTCAGCCAAGGTCCGGGTGCCATTTTTGCGTCAAGTTGTCCCCATCAGTAAGAAGGTGAGGAAGAGGCAGAAAGTACTTTCTCAGTGAAAGGAGACTGAACAGTTGTTTCATATTCTCTTCGTCCTCTTCAAAGGTAGCTCGGGACCCCCGCTTTGATGATTTATCAGGGGAATATAATCCTGAGGTATTTGACAAAACATATCAATTCCTGGATGACATCCGAGCTAAAGAGAAAGAGGTATGCAGCATGATACTGACTCATAGGGGCTTTGGGGGTAGGCAAAAAAGAAATTAGGGCACAGATTGGCAGGGAGAGGAGAGTAGGAAGCAGAGTGATGGGCAAACTCTTACGTTCAAATCCTGACTCTCAGTTTACTGTGTGACCATTGGCAAATAAACCTCTCTTGGTTTTCTAATCATAAAAAGAGATATTGCTCATTTATAGTGTCATTGAATTAATATCTATGAACCTGTTAGAAGGTTGTGCTTAGCACAGAATCTCAGCTGACATTAACCATCATTCATTTTCCAATGTGGAGCTTGTGAAAAAACAATTGAAGAAGCACCGTTCAGGTGAGAAGCATGAGAAACTGCAGCAGCTTCTTCAGCGAATGGTGAGTAGATAAGAACTGTGGGTGGGGTGATTCAGTCCTTTCTATTCACGCACTTCATCCTTTCTCACCTTTGCACCTCAGGAGCAGCAGGAATCCACACAGCAGGAACGAAAGCGACAGCAGGAGCTGCGCCTGGCCCTGAAGCAGGAGCGGCGGGCTCAGGCCCAGCAGGGCCATCGGCCATACTTCTTGAAGAAATGTGAGTGGGGCACAACTGTTACAGGCTGGTTACAGGGAAAGGAGTTTGGTGAACATAGTAGCAGGATACTGGGTTGGGGGTCCATGAGCTCCCTAAAGAAGGCATGAAGTCTAGATCTCACAGTAAATTGGAGGAAACTTTTTTTTTTATTCCTGTCTTTTTTTTAAAAAAAAAGACTTATTTAAGCATACAAGAACTGGGTGCAGGCCAGAGGTGTGGGGGTGAAAGGACTCACCAGAGACAGCGTGGGGAGCAGAACAGGCAGACTGACTGAAAATCACTGCTGAGGGGAGCAGCGGGTGAGACAGGTCTGCTGCACCATGTGGGTCACCTCCCTGGCCGGCAATTGAACTTGTGCTGCAGTGCCTGTGGATAGCTTCGTAGTGCTGCGACATAACCCCTTGCACCACCAGGGAGGCCCTCCCATCTTTTTTTTTTTTAATCAAATGTTATTGATATACCTTTCATTTTCATGACTGTATGGTTTTGGGATATAGTGATTCTTAAATCCTTAATAAGATGATGAGCACGAAGCGTCACTTTTATCTCTTGCCCCCTCCTGCCCACATGCTAGGCCTGGCACACAGATGGTGCTCACAGTTGGTTGAACTGAGAAAGAGTGGACACAGAAAATGTCTTGCTTACATGCATCAGTGAACTCCAAACAACACTGCCCCAGCATAGTGGCTGAAAATTACTGATCTGGGAAAGGGAAAGAGAGGGGCCTCCTCCTTTGCTTACCAGCCTTCTTTATTTTTCCCTGTCGTCTAGCTGAGCAGCGCCAGTTGGCCCTAGCTGAGAAGTTCAAGGAGCTGAAACGCAGCAAGAAGCTAGAGAGCTTCTTGAGTCGAAAAAGGCGCCGGAATGCAGGCAAGGACAGAAGACATCTTCCTTTGAGCAAAGAATAATACAGAATTTCTTCAGCTTGGCCACTGCCACAATGAAAAATGGATCTGTGGGGACAAACATGGGCTTGGTCTGTTTTAGTTCTTTCCCATTCGGGGCAAAGGAGCACAGCTGCCCTGGAGCGAGGTTGGCTCAGAGAAGACCAGCAGGTTCTTGGATCGCCCCTAGGACTGGATAAGAAGAGCTGCTTAGCCTTCTGCCATGTCAGTGCCTCTGCTTGGCTCTGGTCATCATGTTCTCATACCCTCTCCCATCTTGTCTTAAACCAAGGAAAAGGGCAGGGAGTGCCTATAAAGCCAGTCAAGACCATGGAGTCTGTCCATGGTGCCCAAGGCTGGGACTTACTATATAAGAACCAGTTCATAAACATTATTTTCACTTTATCTCTTTTGCTCTGCTTTCTTGGGAAGGGAAGGGTTTTTGGGTAGCCTAACTCTTTTTAGTGGGCCATGTGAGTAGGCAGCAAAACCTAAGATTCCTGCAAAGTGTAAAGTCAGATCAGAGACCTATTTAAACCCAAACAGATGACAGTAAACCAACTCCACAACTCACCTGCTTAGCTTTGGTTTTGGATGTAAGGGTGGTTGAAGGTGGGCATAAAAGAACTTCCCCATCTAGGCAAAAGAAGCAGCAGCTCTCCTGCCTGCCTGTGGCTGTGCAAATGTTCGTCTTCACAAAACTGGCCCTTTGCAGCAGCAGCAGCTCTTTCAGCCTACTCTATATGCAAGCATTTCCTTTTCCTAATAAACCTGCCCTTTTAAAATGTTAAAAAAAAAAAAAAAAAAAAAGCCAAAAACTTCCCCATAGCTGGCACACTAGCTCTCAATTCTGTTTGGGTCTAGAATTCACAATAACCAAACTGTTAATTCTTTTTTTTTTTTTTAAAAGATTTATTTATGCATGCAAGAGCGAGAGCTTGGGTACAGGCCAGAGGTGCGGGGCCGAGGGGTGGGGTGGGGGGCGGTGTGGAGGGTGAGAGGATTCACCAGAGACAAAGTGGAAAACAACAGATTGACCAAAATACACTGCTGAGGGGAAGAGCAGGCAAGACAGGAGAGATCTGCTGTGCCGGGTGGGTAGCTCCCTGGCCCACTGGCCAGCCAGGATCAGCTGGGGATCAAACTCCTGCTGCAGCGGCTGCGGATGGCTTCACAATTCTGTGCTTAACCCCTTGTGCCAGTAGGGAGGCCATAATATTTTTTCAAAGATTTCTTTTATTGGGCCTCCCTGGTGGCACAGGGGTTAAAGTTTCAGCTCTGTCAAGCTATCCCCAGCCACTACAGAAGGAATTTGATCCCTGGCCAGGGAACTAACCCACATGGCACAACAGACTACTCCTGTCTATCCACCTGCTCCCCTCAGCAGTGAGTTTCAGTGGATCCCCCTGTTGTGCTCCCTACTCTGTGTACTCTGTGTCTGGTGAATCCTCCCACTGTTATTATGAATTATAGACCTAAACAGAATTGAGAGCTAGTTGTGCTAGCTGTTGCAAAGTTTTTGGGTTTTTTTTTAATTTATTTTTACAGGGCCCCCCCGGTGGCACAGCGGTTGAGCTCTGGGTTGTGGGGCTGCCCGCGGCCTCTGCAGCACCAGTTCGATCCCTGGATGCTCCCCGGCCACTGGAGGAGGGTCCCACATGGCGTGCGGACCTCTCCTGCCGCCCGCTGCTCCCCTCAGCAGTGTACTTTGGTCCTTCTGCCTGCTCTGCTCCCCGCTCTGGCTCTGGTGAATTCTCTCACCTTCCCGCGCTTCTGACTGTACCCAGTGCTTGTATAAGTAAATAAATAAATCTTTAAAAAAAAAAAATGTATTTTTACAGAGCAGGAAGCAGAACAGGCAGATGACAGAAATACACTGCTGAGGGGAGCAGCGGGCGAGACAGGAGGCCTGCCGCGCCATGTGGGATTCTCGCTGGCCAACCAGGATTGAACCCACACTGCAGAGGCTGCGGACAGCTTCACAGCACGGCACTCAAGCAGCTTCGCCACTGGGGGGGGGGGGGCCCTCAGCAGTGTATTTCAGTCTGCCTATTCTGTTCCCCTCTCTGTCTCTGGTGAATCCTCTCACCCCCACCCTACACCTCTAGCCCGTACCTCTATTCTTGTATGCAGAAGTAAATTTTTTTTTAATATTTATTTATTTATGCAAGCACTAGGTACAGTCAAAGCATGGGAGGGTGAGAGAATTTACCAGAACCAGAGCGGGGAGCAGAGCGGGCAGAAGGACCTAAGTACACTGCTGAGGGGAGCAGCGGGCGGCAGGAGAGGTCTGCGCACCATGTGGGACCCTCCTCTGGTGGCTGGGGAGCAGCCGGGGATCGAACCGGCGCTGCAGAGGCTGTGGGCAGCTTCGCAACCCAGCGCTCAACCGCTGCACCACTGGGGAGGCCCATGTTTGGAACATTTTTATAACTAGATCAACTTGTGGTCCTTTGAGTGTAAAGTAGCTGTAGGGGTGTAAGGAATTGAGGCTTAGGATGGTCTCAGGCAGTCAATTACCAAACTTCTGTCCTCTAAGTCATCCTGGAAGTGTTTGCCCTCCTAGGAATGGAATGTTCTGAGGATAAAGGAGGCTTCTATCTGTACAGGTGCTGGTGAGAGAAGCGTAGAGCCAAGACTGCTCCTGTGGATGCCTGGATTTGGGCAAATCAACCAGGCCAGAGTCTGGAAGTGGGGTGAGATTGTGTGCTGAACGTGGCAGGCAACACAGGAGCTGGACCACAGACTGCAACTTGCAGGGTAGGGGGCCAAAGCCAGTATGTTCTTGAGAATCACTGGAGACTCTTCCATTGTAGATGAGCAAGTGAGCACTCCTGGCTGAGGTATAAGATGGCTATGTAGAATGAATAAGGGGTTGAGCAAGTCTGGTGAGTAAAAAGCTGGTAATCTATGGCTCAGCCGTGCAGACCCCATGGGTGAAGTAGCAGCACGGGCAGCAGTGGGAGAAAGTCCCATCCTGTTCTCTACATTAGCATGCATGGCCTTATGACTAGATCTTGCAACAGGGGGCTTCTTTGCATTTCTGGAGGGACGAGATAGGCCCATAAAGAGCATGAGAAGCCAGGAAAATGCAAAAAACTCTGCTCTTGAGAGTCAGGTCAAGAATAAGGGCATGTCTAGTGGACACTAATAAAGTGTGGATTCTGAGGTTAAGGGGGAGGAGAAGAAGAGAGAAAGGGTCGAGGGAATATAAGGGGTAGAATGGAGGAAGTGTTAAAATTCTTTAACTGTCTTGGGAAAACCCACTAAAAATTACAAATAATTTTTAAAATATATGCAATGTTATGTCAATGTAATTAATATATTTTTTAAGATTAATTTTTTATTTATACAATAGCTGGGGTACAGGCCAGAGGCACGAGGGGGGGGTGAGAGGATTCACCAGAGACAGAGTAGGGAGCAGAGCAGGCAGACAGACCAAAAGCACTGCTGAGGGGAGCAGCAGGCGCGACAGGAGAGGTCTGCCCCGCCATGTGGGAATCTCCCTGGCTGGCCAGGAATCGAACCCGTGCTGCAGAGGCTGCAGACAGCTTCACAGTGCTGTGCTCAACCTGCTGAGCCCAATTAATATGTTTTTAAAAGATTTATTTATTTATGCATACAAGAGTTGGGGTGTAGGCCAGAGATGCGGTGGGTAAGAGGATTCACCAGAGACAGAGTAGGAAGCAGAACAGGCACATCTACTGAAATTCACTGCTGAGGGGAGCAGTGGGCAAGACAGGAGAGGTCTGCTGTGCCAAATGGGTCAGCTTCCTGGCCTGGATCAAACTCATATTGCAGTGGCTGAGGACAGCTTCATAGTGCTGAGACTCAACCCCTTGCGCCACCAGGAAAACCCCTCAATGTAATTATTAAAAAAAAAAAAAAAAATACAGGCATGGTCTGGGCCAGTAAAAGAGGATAGGTCATAATCTCTACACAAAGATTAAGAGGCACCTACAAAGTACAGCAACCCTAGTGTGCTGGGGCTTGGGGGTGGAGTGTGGGGGTGACACTGCTGCCTGTCTTCTGCCTTGAAGGGTTACCCTGGGCCAACAGGATGGTGCTGCTGCAGGAACTGCCAGCAGAACCCTGGGCCACCACACTGCAAAGCAAAGCAGGCATGGGGCCCTCTGTCCATCAGCCTCCTTTGCCTTCTGCTTTGTTGCCCCATCCTGGTTGTACTGACTCTCCTAAGTCCTGGCTTCCTTTACCCCTCATGAATTCTACAGATCTTACTTGATTTCCAATTGGGTTGCATCCCATTAAACCCATGGTAAATCTGAAGTCTCATAAAGTTGAAAAATGCAAATTTAATATGGGCTTCCCTGGTGGCACTGGGGTTAAAGACACAGTGCTATCACGCTATCGCCAGCCACTGAGGCATGAGTTCGATCCCTGGCCAGGAAGGTGACCCACATGAAGCAGCAGACCTCTCCTGTCTTGACCGCTGCTCCCCTCAGCAGTGTATTTCATTCTGTCTGTTCTGTTCCCCACTCTCTGTCTCTGGTGAATCCTCTCCCCCCACCCCCAACTCTGGCCTGTACCCCAGTTCTTGGATGCATAAATAAATTTTTTTTTTTTTTTAAAAAGATTTATTTAGGGCCTCCCCTGGTGGCGCAGCAGTTTAGCCCTGGGCTGCAAAGCTGCCCGCAGCCTCTGCAGCGCCGGTTGGATCCCCAGCCGCCCAGGGAGGGTCCCACATGGCACGACAGACCTCTCCTGCCCTGCCCGCTGCTCCCCTCAGCAGTGTATTTTGTCAGACTGCCTGTTCTGTTCCTTGCTCTGGTGAATTCTCTCACCCTCCTGCGCTTCTGACTGTACCCAGTGCTTGTAAAAATATATAAATAAATCTTAAAAAAAAATAATAAAAAAAAGATTATTTATTTATACAAGAATCAGGGTACAGGTCAGATGTGCGGGAGGGTGAGAGGAGTCACCAGAGACGGAGTCAGAACAGGCAGACTGATGAACTACACTGCTGAGGGGAGCAGCAGGCAAGACAGGAGAGGCCTGCTGTGCCATGTGGGACCCTCCCGGCCAGCAGGGATCAAACTGGCGCTGCAGAGGCTGCGGACAGCTTCGCAGCTCAGCGCTCAACTGCCTGCACCACCAGGGGAGGCCCAAATAAATAAATCTTTAAAAAAAAAAAACAACTCAATATTGCAAATGTAAAAGTCTTTAGTGTTGGTGGTTTACCCTCTTGAGCATGAGGCTAGGCGCTGCGGCTCATTGAGGCTGCCAGCATCACGACAGTATCATGGTTATCGACAGCCGGAGGAAAGACCAAAATACAGAATTTGAAATATAGTTTCTACTGAATGCTCATCACTTTCATACTATTGCCAAGTTGAAAAGTCCTAAAGGTACCCACTGTTTGAGGATAGTCTGTATTCCCAATCTCAGAACTGAGTCATTCCTAGTCCCTTCAGGTCTGTTCCTCTCCCACCATCTGACTCTTCCTTACCCTTTTCTCCCAGTGTTTTCTGTAGCTGCTTTCTCCCTCTTGCCTCTGAGCTGCAAAAACCACAGATTGAGGATGCTTGGGTCACTCATTTCCTCCTCCCCTAAAGGCCCCAGCCAACATGCAGAGCTCTGCCCTGCATTGAGTCTCCCAGCCCCGCCTGCCCTGGCTCGGTGTGGGTGGGGCCAGGGGAGCCAATCCCAGCAGCACAGAGCACACCTCCCCCACTGCGGTGCCACCAGGCCCTCAGGGCTACTTAGGGCCTGGCTTTGGCCACTGAGTGCAATTCTGCTGGGAGGGGCAAAGGCAGAGCAGGGGAGAGAGGGGCCCCCATGGCCTCAGGGCTGCAATCCTATGTTAGTTTATATCCAGATCCTGAAGCGTCTGGGATAGAGTACATATTTAGGTTCTAGGGTCTCACTCACCGTCACCCTACCCACCTTCTCCAGCACTGAACCCACTGGTGCGTGTGGTGGCCAAGAGAGGCCCTCGCTGGCAACACCTTCACCGGGTCAAATGTCCCTCAGAGCACCACAGGGATTCTCCTCCAATTCCACAAATGAGGGTAAGGGAGTCCCACTTGACAATGTCTGAGGGACATGTCATCTGGTGCATGGCGAGGTGGGCTGGGTCTCTGGCCTGCCAGGCAGAAGCACCTGAGCCTATGCCCACCCACCGAGCAGGGGCTGAGAATTCGTTCATGTTCATTTACTCCCCCTGGCGAGAGGGGAATGTTAAGGCACGCCTCACTCTCTCTCCAGTCTGCCACCCTTTTCCTAACACAATGATCCTGGCATGGTCTGCGACAACCAACCCAGAGGGCTCTTCTCCCCTTTCAGTCAGGAAAGCACCCTCCCTATCAAATCCCTAGAAGCCACCAAATGCACACAATCCATGTAGTCAAACTCCTGCATTTTATTTCTGTAGAAAGCTCCAGCCCTTCCTAGCTCTGACCCCATCTCCAGGGCTACCGGAAGGTAGAGAAGCTCTGGGTGCCGGTGCAGGAGGCATAGGGCACACCCCGAGAACGAATCTGGAGGGTGTGGAAAGTGAGTGGAGGGTTGGGGCCCGAGGAGCCTGGGTTCAGAGACTCAGTGTGAGGCTCCATCACGGTCACGGGGACTGCATAGGACAGCGTCTGGGGCCGATCATCGTGGCGTCTCACCGTGCCCCTGCCCAGCAGGTGTAGGATGCAGGAAAGGACATCAGTACTGCTGCAGGCAGACCCCCTCCCAAGGCTGCTGACCAAACCCCTGGGAGGACATGGGCCCTTCTGCCAAGCCTCCAGCACCTGAGAGGAGACAAGGGGACATGATAGGTCAGGCACCACCTACTTCCACTTCTGGCTTCCCCTCGGACCACAAGCTGCCAGGACAAGAAGCCCTGAGGACATTAGGCGCACCCCATCCTTGCTCTTCACCTACGCACGGGCTCCATAATGGACAGATGCTTCCAGTATGGCCCCACTTCCAGTGGCCTGCCCCTCCCACAGCTCCCTCGCAGCTCCGGCCCACCCCCATTTACCAGGCAGACTAGCTGGTCAATATGCAGCCCCTCATCCCCATGGGCCTTGAGGATCCGGACCACGAGGCAGTCTAGCAGGTTCCGTCTCTTCTCCAGGTTCCGCCCCTCCTCATCCTCAGCTTGCAGGTATGTCTGAGGTGGGATGAGCCACACATTGCCCCTCCTTGGCCTGGGCTCCTCGCTGCCATCGCGAACCTTGAGCACCCCTGAAATAAGCATCACTGGATGGGATGCCCACAAGGAGGCAGGCTCTGGCTCAGAGCAGAGGCCTCTGTGGCCTAAGTACCTACCTCCTGGGACATCCTTTGGCTCGTGAAGGTCCAGGGGGCCTCTTGAAGCCGTAAGAGGCCCAATTGCCTGGTTCAGCATGTCTGGAGAGAGCCCCGAGAGTGCTAGCAGACTCTCCACAGAGACCGCCTTAGAGAAGATGGGGGAGATGTTCAGAGTCTCCCTATGGGGTGGTGCAGAGAGGGTGGAGGGGAGGAGGACAGGGGATCAAAGTTTAAAGGAAAGATGAGGGACAGGTGGGAGAGAGCAGGGAGGTGCAGAGGGGCTGGGCCACCTGCAAGTCGTTGAGATACAGCAGCAGCCACATCTGCACGGTGGACACATGTAGGATCTGGTCCCCAAACTGTATTTCAGCCCGGCCTAGCCACGTCCACTGCAGTCGTCTCTGTGGCTCCCGCTCTAGGGCAGGGTAGCTATGATCTGAGAGGAGGTGAGGGAGGAGGGAGTTGGGGCAGGTGAGGACGTACCACAGGTGAGCTTTGTCCCTGCTCCCCTCTGCAGAGTGTGCTGCCAGCGTTGTGGACACAGTGGTCTCTGGCCTGAGCTTTCAGAGCTCAGCCTTCTCTGTGCCCACCTGCTCCCTGGGTAAGCCTCAGACACCTGCAGCCTGCCCTGTGCATAAGCCTGCTCCAGGAGGGCTCTATTAGAGCCTTCAAGTAGATTCACCCCCTTTTTTTAGGGAACCAATATCATCAAGCTAGGAATCAAACTGGAATGTCTGTGAAAGGAAACAATGTCCTCCGGATGAGTATGGGAGCTCCCTGAGGGCAGGGTCTGAGTCTCTCACCCACCTTTGTGACTGCCCAGATCAGGGATCAGCCCCCAGTGGGGAGCTTAGGTTACAGATTTTGCCACTAAAGAAAATCCTCTCTAGTGGCCTCCTGCCTCCATTCCCGACTGCACATTAAGAGAATCCTGGGTTTCATTTTAAGGACTGGAAAGGCAACAGTCAGGGGATCCGGTGTCTGATAGCACCCCCCCTCCACCTCCACAAAGTCCTGCCCTTTCTTCTCAAATCCACCCCATCAAGGCTCCCAACCCAGGGTCCTTCCCAATGTCCCATCCTCTTCCCAGCCCCCAGCTCCCGCCTCCTGGCTCCTCACTCTTGTTGTAGAAGTTGGAGTATCGGTTCAAAGTTCCCCTCAGGTAGGTGGGCAGGCAAGTTCTGGGGTTCAGCGTGTGGCAGATGGTGGCAACAGGCCAGCAGCGTGATGACAAGACCAGCACAGACACTTCAGGCATGGCGCCTTCATAGTAGAGGTCCTCGTTCTCCTCCTCCTCCACGTCTGCCACCGCCGCCCCAGGTTCCTTTGCTTCCTCCTCCGTCCTCCTCTCGTGCTCTTTGCCACTGGCCTCACGGCCCACCTGAAGAGGAACACGGGGTTGCTCACAGCCCACGGACCAACTCTGGATGGCTGCGTGGCTCTCTTCCTCTCTCCTCTCCCATCAGCGAATCTCTCCCCTGCACCCACCTGAATTTTCTTCTCCGAGTCCTCCAGCTTCAGGAGTTCCTGATCGAGCCGCTGGAGCTGGTAGACGTGGAACTGGCGCTGCAGCTCCTCGGAGGTGCTCAGGCTCCGTAACATCTGCTGGGGGAGGCGATTGGGGAAGCAGGGACCGATCTGCTCCAGCACAGCCCCCTCCAGCCAGCTCGTGCCCACGCCCAGGAGACGGTCCGCCATGTAGTGTCTGCAGCACACACAGCCCGGGTCAAGCCTTGGTGTGGGCACACAGTTTGGCCCAGTCCCCCGCTTCTGTACTCCAGGCTACCTGGACCAGGTGCCCAGGCCCGGTTGTCTTTCTGCCTCCCCCACCCAACTCCCAAGATCCATTCTCACTGGTAGTAATGCTCAAAGGTGGTGGCTATCTCCAGGCCAGAGAAAATGAGGACAGTTTCCAGGCATCGCTGCAGCTGCGCCAGCATCTCCATTCCTCGGGCGCCACCAATCCGGCTGCCCTGGATCCGCTGGTCAATGTGCCGGGCAAACTGCTCACTCACCTGCAGGTGGGGAGCATAGAAAACCATGAGTGAGGGAGTGAGGAGATGAGGGCAGCAGTGGAGAAGCTCTGAGGAAGGAGATATGAACGGCTAGCAGCTTCAAAAACTGGCCAATGCTTTTATAAACAGTTTTATCAAGTCTCTAAGAACAGTGGAAGCTAATAATATTAATAAAGATGAAAAATGTTTGTCACATTGAGCATGTCTAAAATAAAACTAATGATAATAATTAAAACAAGGAAACTATTTAGGTATACGGAGGGTCACACTGCAGTGTGACTGATGACATAGTGACCAGAGGCTGAGCGGTGCCCTTTGGTGCCCAGGCTGCTGGTGACAGTTCACTTCAGCATTTGCTTAACTGGGCGTCTCCCTTAGAAGGGCTTGGAGACGGGAGGGGAGGGGCTTGATCTATCTTCAACTCTTATCACAGTGCCTGACACATGTTAAGCACATGTTAAATATTTACACAAGAAGTGGGAATGGTGGATTAAATTATAGTGTATTCATTACATGGAATTTAAGCAAGAGTGAAAAATGAGGATGAATAACAGCACCAAAAAGGCTGTTAATGGCATGGTCAAGAGAAAACAAGACAGGTCCCTCCCTGGTGGTGCAGGGGTTAGTCTCAGCACTATGAAGCTATCACCAGCCACTGCTGTCTGAGTTCAATCCCCAGCCAGGAGGCTTGTCTCGCCCGCTGCTCCCCTCGGCAGTGTATTTCAGTCAGTCTGCCTGTGCTGCTCCCCACTCTGTCTCTGGTGAATCCTCTCACCCCCCTACACCTTTGGCCTATATCCCAGTTCTTGTATACATACATAAGTAAATCTTTAAAAAAAAAAAGCAAGACAGAGCATGTAGCACAGTACATGATGTTAAATCACGCATACCAACAGAAGGAAGGACATTGAGATATGCTGGGGGTCACCGTTTTTTCTTTCTTTTTTTAAATTTTTAATAATATGTTTAAAATATTTTTATTTTTATTTCATTTTTAAAGGTGTGATATGAAGTACAGCTATTTTTTTTAATTAATTAATTTATTTACACAAACACTGGGTACAGTCAGAAGCACGGGAGGGTGAGAGAATTCACCAGAGCCAGAGCAGGGAACAGAACAGGCAGACTGACGAAATACACTGCTGAGGGGAGCAGCGGGCGGCAGGAGGGGTCTGCGCGCCATGTGGGACCCTCCTCCGGTGGCCGGGAAGCAGCCGGGGATAGACCCGGCGCTGCAGAGGTTGCGGGCAGCTTCGCAACCCAGCGCTCAACCGCTGCGCCACCAGGGGAGGCCCAATGATACGTTTATATACCAGTGCAGTGCCTTGCTGAAGGGGAATGGAAGGCGGGTCACGTTGAGGTAGTGGGGGAGGGAGAGGCGCAGGGGAGGCTTACATGGGCAGCTTTGAGGAAGGGGAGCTTCAGCAGGGCACCAGCACAGCCGTTCTGCAGCGCCAGCAAGAAAGCTGCCCGTGGGCCAAACAGCTCAGAGCTTGACTTATGCAGATGACTGAAGTGTTCACAGTAGCGTGGCACAAAGTCGTCATCCCGCCAGTGTGAGGTCAGGAAATGGTTGACCTGGAGGGGAGGGAAGAGGAGGTAGCGTGAAGAGGTGACTCCACATGCCACCCCCTATTCCAGGGACCAGCCTCCCTCCCCCCCCACACCTGCCCTGCGCACCTGCTCCTCCACCACAGACCGCCAGCAGCGGGTCAGGTTTCTCATGATGCTGCTGGGCAGTCCCCGAGTAGCCAGGGAGCTCCAGTCATGGCTTCTATTTCTGCCCTCTATGGAGACAGAGGAAGGGGTCGGGGCGAGGTGGGGGCAGACCCTAAGCTCTGGATCCCCATTCAAGGGTGAGCCCTGAGGCCTTTCCTGACTTGCTGCTACCTGAAATGATGCTCCTGGGTGGGGGTGACACAAGCTTGGAGAATATATAAGCTGAGCATGCCGGGGGGGGGGGGGAGGTGAGGAGGGACAGAAGCCTGCAGTATGTGTGTGCGTGGTGGAGGGCATGGGGAAACGTTCCTAACTGAGCTCCTGCAGGAAGCCCAGCACTCATGGAGCCCAATTCCCAGTACTCACTGGGGCGAGCAGTGGTCACCACCAGAGGGGGCGCCTCACAGGGCTCCACGTGCACCAGCAGGTGGGTGAGGCGGCGCACTCTTGAGGAGAAAGCTGCTGCGCGGCTCTGGGGGTTGTGGGCAGCCTCCCGACACTCCAGGTACTGGTCCAGCAGCCAGCCCAGGGGGCTGATGCCGTCCTCATCTGGAGGCCAGGAAAAACAAGGAAGGGCATGACTCCAGGGCAGCAGGGAGACACTAGGCTGGGCTGGACGGGAAGGCAGAGAAAGAGCAATCGACAGTGATATGGGGGTGGCAGTGAGGGGGGGAGGCAGGTCCCTTCTGATTGGTTAAGCTGGCACCTGGGAGACATGGGAAAGGAGGCGGTCCGGGGCTGTGAGGAAAGTGGCACTAGGGCACATAGGTACCAAAGGGCCAATGGCATCATCTAGGTGGCTTAAGGCTAGAGTAAGCAGGAGCTGACTAGTGGGGAAAAGCAATGGGATGGGAAGGGGGCTGGGGGTCGGGACTGTTACCGGGGGAAGTGATGTTCTGCACCAGGGGGCTGACCAGGGCCTCCCAGCAGGTCTTGCCCAGTGCCTGGGCAGCTTCATTGTCGGGGAGGAAGTGATCAGCAAAATTCTGCTCCTGCCGCAGAGCCCCATTGAGTCTGGGGATAAGGGTGGGGGAAGGAAGGCGCCAGGGATGAGAGGCATAAATCACCCCGGTATCCACTCAGCCCAAGACTGCCGGCTAAGCCCCAGTAGCCAGACCGAAACCCCAAGCCCCACCCCCACCTGTGTTAATAGACACATCCCATTCCCAGCCCACCAGACAAATCTCTTTATTTTCCCTTCCCCAACACAGAACACTCCTGCCCCCTCCCCAAGCACATCAGACCCCTCCTCCATCCTCCTTCCTTTGTGTCCCTGGTCCACAGTCATCTGTAACATGCCTGCCTCTCACACACACCTAGAACTCAGGTGCAGGAGGCTCCTGCGGTCCTCGGATATGTCCTGGCTCCAGGCCTGCGCCCGAACCATGTAGAAGAGACGTGTGTGACGGCACAGTTGTTCCCTGAACACTGGCCAGAACGTGGGCTTGGGGCCCAGGATCTCCAACCCCCGAATGCGAGTGTCAATGCCGCCCTGCAAAGCACACAGGCCTATTATCACCTGCTCCATGTCCTCCTCAAGCCTCACCCTGGAGCGGCCTGTGACCAGGCAGGCGCACTGACCCAATATCAGCAACAGTGACAGGGCCTAGAGCCCCTGCCCAGGACCATGCCCCATGACCCTCCCCTACCTGCTGGCAGCGCTTTATGCGGATCTGTATGATGGGCCAGAAGCGGTTCAGATTCTCCAAAAGGATCACCCGGCTGGCGGAGGGCATCACGTTGACCTGGCAGGGGGCAGAAAAGGGCTGTCACAGTGTGGATAGAAGTGTCCAAAGCACCCACATCTGCAAGCATTCCCTCCTTGCGTCTCCCTTCCCCCAGCCCTGGGATGTGTGGGGTCCCGAGGAAGGGGTCCTAACGCCTCACTGCTTAGGGCCTGATGCAGTCACAAAGGCACAGGGATAAAGAATACGACTTTCTACAGGGCTCAAAACAGGGAGGAATTCAGGGATCTAGAGGTCTGGGCAAGAGGGTACATCCTGTGAGGGGTGGCCCAATGGCACAGAGGTCCCTACCGAGTTGAGTTCTGTGTTAAGGGAGCTGGTGCTGTCGCCGCCGAGCACCACCACTCTGGCCGGCATGTAGCTTGAGTCTTCGCCAGCCACCAGCAGATTCAGCTGCCTGGGAGCAGGTAAGAGGAATCATTAGGAACCGGAACCAGTCATATGCCCTTGCAGGCAGGCCCAAGGGGACTCTTCAGTCATGTTCAGGGGATGCTGCTCCCCGCCAAGACAAACACAGGGGACTCATGAGAAAGTGTATGTGCGGCTCAGCATGGGCATGGAGCCTGTTACCTGACGAGGACGCCCTGGCGCATGTGCAAGGTGATGTAGTGGGAGCCGGCGCTGCCGTTGGACTCCCAGTAGGTTTTGGGGTTGCGGTCTGTCAGCTTGCTGGCCCGGTGGGGGTTGGAGGACACCTCCACCTTCTCCCAGCACTTGTCCTCCTTCACTTCCACACTGGAGCCTGGGGGCAGGTGGGAAGGGGGTGGGCTCACAGCCTGGAGGGTTGAGAGAAGAAAGGGAAGGGACGAGGGAGCAGGCAGGGAAGGGGCGAACGGATGCTGGGGTGGGTGTCGGGAGAAAGCAGAGGGGCGCACGAACCCTGGCACAGGTGCCTGAGGAACACGTCAAAGAAGGGGATGTTGATGGGTCGGTGGGTTCGTCTGTGGTCTTCGATCTGGCCCAGCACCATCTGCAGCCATGACAGAGAGAGAAGCAGTGCGGGAGGAGGCAGGGACACAGAGAAACACATGGAGAAAAGGCCCAGCAGCAGAGGGACTTCCTCCAGGCCCAGACAGAGAGGGGCACAGGGGAAGAGGGTGCAGGACAAGAGCCCCCGTGGTCAAGACATAGCTGTTGTTCCCAGTTGCAGGAACAGCTCCCTTCTCCCTGACCCCACTGTTCTGGTTTCATACTCTTTCCCAGCTCTGAACCCACAGCTTCCCCCCACTTCTTCCTGACCTGGATGCAGCCTCCCAGGATGTTGGTGGTGAGCTTCCGATAGAGGTGGGCGTGCTTCTCACACTTGAACACCATGTCCCGCAGCTCCTGAGCCAGCTCCAGCTTGCCCAGGTGCTTTTCCAGGGCCTTGGAGATGGCATCTCGGGCTCCCAGCTGATTCAGCACCACGGCGTAGTCCCTGCTCACTGAGGTCAAGCGGTGCAGGAAGAAAATCAGTTCCTGGAGCACCTGGGATGGGAATGAGGAGGTGACGGTTGGGAACAAGGCCCAGGCCACAAGGGCATCTTCATCTTTACTTCCCTACACAGCGGAAAGTAGGAGGACAGGCGGGGGTGGGGGGAACGTGAGCGCCCGGTGACATAGGAGAACCAAAACCAAACAGAAATGGGAAAGGCAGGAGCTCCCCTGCCACTCTGGGTTCTCAGCTACTGACTGGCAATAGGGATAGAGACCACCCAGATTTGTTCTTTTCAGGCCCCGCTGTCCCAAGAACCAACTGCAGGGCTATGTTGTGAGATGCTCAGACCCCCAAGCACAGATACCTGGCACACGGGATGGGGCCAAGAGGGGCTGGCTGTGCTTGGACACACAGAGTGCCCCTGTCACCATGACAGACCCCTTGCCAAGCATCTGTGCCCAGGACCTTCATTCCCCTTTCTCTTACATGCCAGCCAAAAAGGAGTCACTGAGGCTCTTAATATTTTTAAATATATATAAAAGCACACATAGTTCATTTCGCAAAAAAAATATATGTGTGGAGGGAAACACAGAAGGTGACATGAGTTAATACAAGTGGTTACTAATAGGAGTGTGGAGGGGGCATTAGAACAGGGACTGGGGTGGTGTGAGGTTTTTCAGTGTATACCTTATTATATCATTTTGATATGTGAACCGTGGGAATGTATTACCTATTTAAAAAAATGAAATTCAATTTTAAAAACAAAACCCAAAGCAAGAGCAAATGCTCCATTGCATCCTCCAGAGTCCTGCCCAAGGGGTCGGCCTCCCCAGAGGCTGCCTTCTCCCTGCAGCCCCTTCCCGCTGCAGGGCAGGGGTACCTCTCGATCAGTGTCTGGGGACCGCAGGCAGGTCATGCAGGCATCCATGGCCTCATGCCAGGGGAGCAGCAGGGCCTCAGGGATATCCGCCAACTGCTTCAGGATTCTGGGGAACAGGAGGTGGGAGGAGAGATAATCAGCCAGCCTCGAGACCTGATTGCCCGAACCTGCCTTGAATCTCCCCCTCACCTGAGAACGGCCAGGTGCAGGGCCCTGTTGGCAGCTGGGGTGTCAAGGCTCTGCATGAGCACCAGGAAGGGCTGGGGCTGCCGCAGGAGCTGTTGGAGGATCGGCTTGACCTCACTCTCCTGGGCCCCCTCTGAGCTGAAGGCTCGTTCCAGGTCCTGGAAGATCTTCCCAGTTGGACCATAACCCTCCACCAGATGCTGCAGGGGAGTGCTGGGGCACTGAGCTGAGGGGTCTTTTGCTATAAGAAGGAGGAAGCCAAAAAGGAGAGACAGATTCATAAATCTCAATCTTATTTCCCAATTTTTCCTAAAAAATTTAGATTTTTGTCTTAAAAGATAGGTTTGGAGGGGCCTCCCTGGTGGCACAAAGGGTTAAGTCTCAGCACTATGAAGCACGAGTTCGATCCCCGGCCAGGGAGCTGACCCACATGGCGCAGCAGACCTCTCCTGTCTCGCCCACTGCTCCCCTCAGCAGTGTATTTCAGTAGATCTGCCTGTTCTGCTCGCCACTCTGATGAATCCTCTCACCCTTCTGCCCCTCCTCTCTGGCCTACACCCCATCTCTTGTATGCATAAATAAATAAATCTTTAAAAAAAAAGTTAGGCTTGCGAATCTCATAATAATACTAAGTGTACTTATAAGAAGATAGCTTCATAACAAATTTTAAATTTTATATTGTTAAAATAGCAGAGTGTTTCCTGTCTGCAAAGAGCAGGGCATCTCCTTACATCTGAAAGCATGCAATAAAGTTAAATATGAGGATTTTTGAAGGCTCAAATCTTTTTCAAGTTTCTAACTTCACAGTCTCCTTTATTCTTTGAGGGACCACAATGGCTGTGCCTCCATTGATTATTTATCTCTAAGTTTCAGATTTTTCCTTAGGTGCTATGTCTTCCAGATAGGATTGCATATAAATCTGCAAAGATCTCTCTCCCAGGCCGATGCCCTCCTAGAGGCCAGTCTGCAGAGCTGCTTTGTCTGTCTGGTTCCCACCTTTCACTTTGGCTGCATCTGCTGATTCCTGAGGTTGGTTCTGGGCTTCTAGCAGGGATGGGTAGACCAGCTGCCCTGCCAGGGCCTCGGGCCCATATTTCCTGTAGACACGGCAGTTGAGCAGGTCCCTGAGAGCGCTGTCATCGAGTCGCTGAGGCAGAGCCAGCAGCAGGTCCTGTGCCAACTCCATGGGCACAGCCAGCTCAGCCAGGATCTCATCATCCAGAATCTGTCACCAGGGAGAATTTCTCAGTGCAGGCATCCCAGCAAGCACAGAGGCTCCAGGACACTCGTAAGGGCAGGGACCTCTGTCTGTACTTTCTCCATCCTGAACCTCCCCTGGTTGGCAGCTGGCTCCTCCCATCGGGTTACCAACACCTCCAAACATTCTAGACCCCTGCTCTGCAGTCCCTTACTCTATCAACCTCTGCTTCCCATCCAGGGTCTTCTGAGTGCTCTATCACAGACCCTTCAACCCCTGTGTGTCTCCAAGCCAACTCTACCTCTCCATCCAGGTTTTCCTGGAGAATCTGGAGGACCTCCTGATGGTCAGGTCCATCCAGCTTCTTGATGAAGAAGAGGAGCTCCCACCACTCGGCCTGGGTCAGGTGTTCACTCTCCTCAGCGTCCTCATCCTCAGGCAGCACGTAGGGCACGGCGTAGAGCTCTGCCATGGGCTTCCACCGCCAGGAGGGCAGGGCTGTGGGGATGGGCCAGGGGCAGTGATGTCGCTGCCCATAAGGAACACTTTTCCTCTGCCCAGAGCTCACCCCTGCTCCCCCTCTGGGCTCACCTATACCCAGCGCTCCACTGATCACTGCCCCCCGGTACTCCTCAGCCTCGACCACGTCCTCAATGTCTTCCTCAAAGCCCAGGATCTCCAGCATGTGCCAGTGCACCCAATAGGTGCGGCCCGTTGACTCCCACAACACCTGGAGAGTAAGGGGCCAAGAGAGAGGTAAGACTCACTTAACATCTGACTGTAGACCAAAGATAGAGACAGTCTCTATCTCTCCAAATAGTAAAACACTGGCATTTGGAGAACATGAATATACATATAGAACACGCTCTCCTCAACCTGTTTTTGATAGCTTATGTCCCTATTCTTCCTCTTGGCCCCAACCACCCTGCCTCCCTGACCCTGACCTTTGGGTCTTTCTCTATCAGTTTTTTTTTTTTTTCCTGAGAGTGAGTCTTCTTGACCTCATAGCTTCCTAAACCCAGATTTTTGTCAGGCATCCAAAAGGCCCCCCTCATTGCAAACCCCCTCTCACCATCCCAGTCTTACTGATGGATTCTATTTCAGAGGCCCCTGCATAAAGCCCCAGCTCTGCCCCACCCAAGAGAGATCTCCACATCACACGGGCTCACCTGCACAGGGGGCACGCCATTATTGCTCTGCCGGAACTCACCCTCGTCACCGGCACTGATCTCTTCGTAATCATCCAGCATCCGCACTCGCATCCCTGGCTGCAGGGTGTCCCGCACATACAAGGCATAGGTATTGCCACTTGCAAACTCAGAGCGAGGGCGAAAGCGCCTTGACCTCCTGAGGGAGGGCCGAGAATGGGCAGCGGGGAGCCCTGGGCCTGCTTCTGCTGACTGGGGCTGGAAGATGGAACAGGAGGACCGTGTGGAGGGCCCCTCCTTGCTTGAAGCCCAGTCCCAGCGCATGGCCTGCACCAGCTCTGAGATCAGGGTGCCCATGGCCATGCAGAACTCCAGCTCCAGCCGACCCCTCTCCCCACTCAGCTCCTCAGGAGCAGCGTTGTTCTGGGCTCCGGCTTCCGTAGCACTGTCATTTAGCTGATCCAGGAGGGAGGTGACATACAAATAGTGCTTTACCAGGGAGAAGAGCAGCCTTCCAGGGACCTGTGGGATACAACCTTTGGCTTAAGGTCCACCTTGTTCCAGCGTTAGCCTCTCTTACCACACTGCCCACTGTGGACAGATGCAAAGGTATGGTGCCTAGATTTGTTCACAGCTCCCCACCCAATCCCTCCACAGAATACCTGTGGCAGCTGAATGCCCTCGAAAGACATGGGGTGTTCAGCGAGTGTGGCCTGTGCAAACAGAGCCAGCAGAGCACAGCGGCTGTCAAAATCCAGTTGTTTCTCAATGGCCTCTTGCTGGCTCAGAGACAGAAGAATCTGGGTCCGGGTTCCTGTAACCCACACTCCAATCAGTAACTGCTCCCTAACATCACCCTTCCCAGGATCTTTCTGAGGCCTTCTGCTCCCTTTGTTACATTTTTTCCCCCCATCACACACTAGGAATGGCATGATTTGCTGGATAAATCAGAACTATTTTACTCTTAACAGTCTAATAGTCTAAACTCTTCCTCTGCATAGAAAGCCAATTAACATGAGGTTCTTGGGGATTCAGTCCTTTCTCTGCAGAGTCGCCCCCACCCACCTCCCCTTCTTCCAAAGAGAAGGACAACAAATCATTTACGTACTGATGAGATCAGAGGCTCCTGCCACAGTGTCCTGTGAGGCCCCGAGCCGACCCAGCCCTTCTTCTGCTCCCCCTTCCTCCCCACACTGCCCCTCACCAGCATCATGGGAGGCCAGGGCTTGTATCATCCGGCCCGCGCTCCAGCGGATCTGATAGTCAGGACTACTCAACATGTGCATGAGCAAGTCCAGGACCCTTGGGTCTTTGAAGACCCCAGTGAGGGGCTCGATGCTGGCGTAGGCGCTGAGCACGTGCACAGTGTGAAGCAGGGGAGCAGGAGGGGTGCTGCCCACACACTCCTCCAGCTGCCGAAGGGCCCTCTGAATCAGAGACTTCACATCTGTTTCCATCTCTACCAGCACAGATTTGTCGAGGGTCCCAGCCTCCCCTGCAGTCTCCGGGGAGGGCGCGATGACCTGGCCATCCTCGCCCAGCATCTTGTGGCAATTGGCATAGATCTCATCGTTGGACATCCACAGCAGGATGTGCTCAGCTTTGCAGTCCACTTGGCTAGCACCTCCGTCCCCATCATCCCCACGCCTGAGGATGAGCCAGCGGATCTGGTACTCAGGATGCCCATCGTGGCCCACACGCTGGCGGATCAGTTCATCTGGATAGGCATGCAGGCCGGGGCCCAGGGGCACTCTGAATTCCCTGTAGCGGAGCTCCCCCACCATCCTGGCACCTGGGACACACAAGGAAAAGAGAACAGGCAAGCAAATGAAAGTGAGAGGGTGAGAGGGGAGGTCAGCAAATCAAGGGCATCTACGAGTTGGGGAAGCAAATGCGGCAACAGCTGTTGGTCTGGGGCGGGGGTGGAGGAGTAAAGCAGAGCCCAGGAGTTGCCTGCTGCACACAGAGTGGGATCAGGCCTAGGCAGAGGAACATAAGGGTGTTTGTTCTGGGAGAACACAAAATTTGGGTGCTAAAAGGAGGGTCCAAGACCCCACAGCCTGGAGTGGATTGTTTTGGGGCAGTGGGAAGGGGATAGTGCGGGTAAAGCAGGCTTGGGGTTACAAGTGAATCTTATAGGCCTGGAAGTAGGGGGGACAGCAACCCTGGGAAGAGGGCCTGCAAAATGCAAAGCAGGATGGGGGGAGCGGTGGGGAGTGAGCGCTTGAGTGCATATGGAAAGGGGTGCTACCTCCAAAAGTGGAAGGACGTAAGTGTGAGTCGCAGGGTTAAGAGACCCAGAAAATTGACGGTGAAATGAGGGTGTATGGAGCGATGGGCTTGGAGGAGGGGCTGGAGGAGCGGATGACTGGAGGCCCGGAGTGGCAAAGCCGATGGGGGGACGCGAGGCCCAGGACAGGGTGCACAGGAGACCGGATGGGTGAAGGAAGGGTGCGAGGCTTGGTGACAGGGGCTCAAAATCCCGAAAAGCTGGGGCACGCGCGACAAGATGGGGTCGGAGGGTAGGCCGGATAAACCAGAATCCCAAGTCATGGTGGAATGGGGGGCCGCGGGGCTCGATGGGCGAGCAGACGGAGGAAAACCCAGGGTAGGGGCAGGGGGCCGCGGCGGGGCTCTGGCCACCTCAGAAGTCGACGGGGGTCCTGGCGCGAGGCCTGTCCTTCGCAGGGCTAGGGACGTGGCGCAGGCGATGGCGGCGGCGCTGGCGGAGATTTGGGCCGCGCCTGGGCCCCCGAAGGGGTCGAGGAGGAGAGGCGGGCGGGGGCGTGCCTCTGCGGGACGGGAGGGCAGGCAGGGGGCGTGGCGCGCGGCGCTGAGCGCTCCGGGGCTGGGCCTCTGTCACCGCCTGCCCTGCTCGCGCGCCGAGGCGGGCCGGGGCGGGGCGGAATTCGGTCCCAGCCCCCGAGGACGCTGCCAGCCCAGCCCAGCTCGGCGGGCTCCGCCGCCCGCCTGCAGCTGCAGCTCATTTCCGCCAGGCCCAGCGGAAAGCTAGGGGCCCTCGGAGAGCGCCGGGGCGGAGCCGCCCGTGCCACCTCGGCAACGCTCAGCACCTCCTCCTTCGTGCCGCCCTTTCCTCTTCCTTTTCATCCTCCCTCCTGCCACCGGAAGTGCCTTCCCGGGTTCCCAAAGTCAGGACTGGAAAAGACCTTGGAGGTCATTTATCGTCCCGGCACCCCCTCCCCCATTCCATATAAAGGAGCTGAGGCCAGGAGGATGGCTGCAAATGAGGGGGTGTAGTCTCAGTCTTTGCTCCGTATTCTTTCCTTGCTTCTTACCCACACTTGTTTGCGCCTTTCCTTTACCGGGTGCAGTATGTACCTTCCCGCTCCCCGCCAAAACAGTAACCGATAAAATAGGGGGTCATTTTATTAAAGTCCAGACATCAGCTTTGGGCAGCAGCTGTGGGAAGATTCACATAACTCTTCATGGGGGGCAGTGGTCGAATCTTTCGGCCTGCCCAGCCCCCTTTGCGATGCCATAGTCCACTGGAAGGTCTCTTGCCCAGCCAGCGATTCCGCCCGGCCTTGCCAATGACTCGTTTATTATGATCAACGTTGGATACTCGTCCCACTATTGCTGTGCAGGTTTCCAGCACCTGACAAAGAAAGCAGACAGAGAATGCACTTTGGGGGGGTAAGGCTGACAATGCTGAAGCTATGGACTCTTGGGAGGCTTCTACACTCCTTGAAAGAAGGGACAGGACAGGGGGGAAGCATAACTTAATTGAACCTGGGGCCTCCCTGGTGGTGCAGGGGGTTGAGCCAGAGAGAAACCCACATGGCGCGGCAGACCTCTCCTGTCTCGCCTGCGGCTCCCCTCAGGAGTGTATTTCAGTCAGTCTGCCTGTTGTGTTCCCCGCTCTGTCTCTGGTGAGTCCTCCCCCCCATCTCTGGCCTGTACCCTAGCTCTTGTATGCATAAAAAAATCTTAAAAACAAACAAACGAACAAACAAAAAAACTGAACCTGAGAGTAGGTTCCATAGTAGTTGAAAGGACACACTTCCTTCCCACTATTCCTTATGGTACCAGCCTCACAAGGCATGCCTAGTTACACAGATCCAACTAAGGAACTTTGTAACACAAAATACCTGGGAGCTATCCTGCCCAGGAAGGAACATTCCCAAAATTCCTCCTCTGCAGATCCCTCCCCACCCACACACCTGCATCTGCCTCTTAGAAGGTAGCTGGATGATGGCTGTCCCATTCACCTTCCGTAGCAGCACACCACAGGTTCCTGGGGGAAGGGAAAAGCAGCTTTGCACTCTCCACAAAGGAGGAAGTGGTAGGGGAATTCACAGCAGGATATTAACAACTCTTCCACCCCCCCACTATTCTTGCTTTGCCATTTAGGAAAAGATACACTGAAGCAGGTGCATGTTAAGTTTTAGGTCAAAACACAAGCACTTCTTCATCTTCGTTTTCCTTGTTGGCCCATGGGTTCAGAGAATTGTGACCTCAGATTCCCTTTACCTTCCACACTGTAAGAGCCCCAAGTTCCTCCTTTCTTCATACCTGCGGCTCGGATATACTGGGCCCCCCGGCCTGGCTCACTCTCCACATTGTTGATAAGTGTCCCCACAGGCAAGGCCCCAAGAGGATGTGCATCCCCTTCCCGGGCAGCAACTAGAAGACAGAATTTCATCAGCACCAAAACCCTTGGCGCCTCCCAGCACCGCTGCCCCCCACATCAGGTGGCCATGTATCACCTGCCATTCGACCTATCTGATCAGAGTTCAGGATTATATCTCCAGCCTGCATGTTTTCTGTGGCAATGATCCAGCGTTTCCGTTTGCCCCCAGCAACCAGAGCTATGTCTGCCGACCTAGTCAAAGTGAGAGACAGGTGAGCAAACCATCTAGGTATCTCACATCTTTTGAAAAGTCACAGAGCAGTTATTTAGGCACGCATCATCACCGCATATCCCAAACTTGCCTACAGGGATCATAACGGACGATGATGACCTTCTCCTCAAAGGGTCCTGGCTTGGTTTCCTCCTCAGGCCGGAAACGCAGAAAGTCAATCATGCGATAACGTTGCTTGTGGCCCCCACCAATACCATGCACTCGGATTCGGCCTGTGGTCAGGACAGTGAATCAGATGAATCAGCTTCCAGCAATGGGAACAGGTCTGCCCTGGGCAGAGGGCAGTGCTTCCCACATTATGACACACAAACAAAAAATAAAAAATTAGAACAGCAACAAGTAAGTGGGGATAGGAAAACACCTATAGAATGCTTTGCAAAAACAATTATATGATTATGGAACTGTAACTTCCAGATAAAAATCTCTTCAAATTACCAATTTAGTAATAGTGTAAAATTTCAAGTAAATAGTACTCAATTTTTTCCTTTCCTTTTTTTTTTTTGTAGATTTATTTATTTATACAAGCACTGGGTACAGTCAGAAGCGCGGGAAGGTGAGAGAATTCACCAGAGCCAGAGCGGGGAACAGAGCAGGCTGAGGGGAGCAGCAGGCAGCAGGAGAGGTCTGCGCGCCATGTGGGACCCTCCTCTGGTGGCTGGGCAGCAGCTGGGGATTGAACCGGCGCTACAGAGGCTGCGGGCAGCTTCACAACCCAGCGCTCAACCGCTGCGCCACCGGGGAGGCCCAATAGTACTCAATTTCAACTTCTATAACCTTCTGTAACCTTTGAAGGTTTGAAGAAAAATATGATACTTCCTGTATGTGGCCAGGTATTTCAACTACCTAGATTGTCATTGGCACACAGACCACTTGCCTATTGCTTTATATTCTACTCGGGCTTACACACATACTACATGCAGAAGTCTACTAACTGCTTTTAACTTATATTTCTCTGCCTTACAATGTGTTAAGTATAATAATATACAGATCTTGGGTTCTACAGTGTTCCTCCTTTATTACTTAATTTCTCTTGCTCCCACCTGTGTGGTCTCGACCCCCAGATTTCCTCATCTTCACTGGTGTAACCGTATACTTGGTACGACTCTTCCAGGACCCAAGGTTGGCACTAAGAGCCACAGATGTAAGGAATGGGCGGCAGGGGAGCAACATCGAGGCAAAGGGCAGCTGGAGGACGGCATTATTTGTTACCTAGAGATAAACAGAAAACTCCTTCGCTTGAAAGCTTATTAAAGAAGCATCAGAGAACAAAGGAAGAGGACACAGATGAAGTTTAGATTATAGCCCACTTCTTCCTTCAAGTGTCAAACCAGCTGTCCAAAAACACCCGTCACAGCTTGCACAAATAGCAGCGCAGAATGTTTATCCAGGTGTATGTGTTGATTACCTCTCCTCTCACTCACCTCTGAAGTATTTCTTCAATGGAATGTTCTGCACTGGTGCATCTCCTTCAAATCTTACTCAAAGCTCCCCTTCTCCAGAGAACTTTTCCTAAACAACTTCCTTTTGTAGAGTAGGTAACTTCTACACATCCATGTACCACCATCAACACCAACCATCTACATTATGCTTCTGGGAGTTTTTCAGATATAGGTGGAGGAGAGGGATCATTTCTGTACTGTTCCCCACTGTATTCAAGCATTTCACAGAGCAGGTTGCTTTGGAATTTTAAGTATGCATCTGCCAATCTTCTACCATTAGCCCCAGAGAAGCAAGATTTACCACTTCTCTTTTCTGTGTCTCACCAATTGCCCACTAGGGACCTTGTGATACTTCATTTTAGGCTTTTATTCATGGTCTGTAGCCTCACATTCTGTAATTTCAGCAATAACTTATCCTTAATGGTTAAGAGCCCAGACTCCTTAATTCCCAATAGCTGGTGTATGATCTTGCCCCGTTTATCCATTTTCGCATATGTAAAGTGGGAATAACAATTCTTACGAGTAATTAAAAGGAGTTCACTTATTTAAGACGTCTATTACTTATACTTGACTTAGGATAGGTATTCAATGAATATCAGTTATTACTGAAACTGTACAACCGGTGTTCTGTAAGTCACTTTCACCTCTAATATCTCATCCGAAGAATCCCGAGGTCCGAAGAAACAGCAACACTTACAAAACTGAAAGCCAAGGCTGAGAGTGACTTATTCGAGGTCACCGGCCAGCGTGAGTTCTCACCAGGCTGACATTCCCCGCCTCCCATCTCAGGGTGTCCCCTCTCGGCGCACCGGAAGGAAACAGCCTCATTCCCGGGTAAAGTGAATTACCTGGGAGCCCGGGAACAGGCTCTGGCTTGGAACAGCGGCCGGGGGCGTCAGGCTCAGGGAACCCAGAGCGCGGGTTAGTGCCCGCAGGGCCATGAATGTGGCCAGGCTCCACGGGGCTCAGCAGGCCACCATTACCTTCAGCCAGGTCTCCCGGCGCTGACGGATGACGCTAACGGTTGCAAATGCCGTCGCTCTCTCCTACGTTAAGGAGGCGGGCCGAGAATCCGACAGCAGCTGGAGCCACACCTCCTTTCTGCCTTTCGCTAGACCAGAGCCAATCCTCGGACTTCTACGAGGTCGCGTGACTGGACCATAGGCCCCGCCCCGCGGAGCCGTCAAAACAATTGCCTCGAGCGGCAGCCATGATGGATTTAAAGGGGCAGTACCGGCAAGGGCGGTAGCCAGACTCAGAGACTGCGGGTGAGTGTTTGACTGTACTTTTGGGCTGAGGGTTGAGGTCCCGCTACTTCTTATTCCGCGTTCTCGGAAAGATGAACAAACTCCCTCCGACCGACCTTACACAACTCTAAACAGACTAAAAACTCCGCCCCCAGCGAATCTTCCCGCCCCTCAGTGATCAGACAGACAGACAGACAGACCGCCCCGCCCCTGCGCTACCGACTGACTCAGTGACCCTGGGATTGCCCGGCTCCTGTAGCTCCTTGGCGACGCGGACCTCAGCAGTTCACCCGCGCCCCCCACCCCTCTTCTGCGTCGCCCAGCTCTGTCTTTACCCACTCTGGGCCCCAGGTCTGGTCGATAGCCTGGATCACTCCTCAGTCACATCCCCAGGCCTGGAGACCAACTCCCAGCGCCGCATTTCCCTGTGACCCTGAAGCCGCTCCGCAGACCTGCCTTTCTTCCTGCTTCATCAGGCGCCCGCGAGGCACCCTAAAGTGACTCCTCTCAGAGCCTGTTAGTAGGTGATTGTGACAGACAAAGCTATGCAAGTGACTAGGCTTGGAGTGACCTGGTCTTTTTCCCTACCCTTTCTCAGACACGCCCCTTGCCACAAGGCTCAGATCTAATCTCGCTCTTTTCTTAGGAGAAAATAGCTCCCCAGGCTTGGGTTGGGAGGCTGGTTTCAGGCAGAGGAGGGACATGGGTCGTCTTGAAGACCTGTAGGCAAGGGAGGGAGGGTGTTTGTCCTGGGTGGGGCTCTGGCCAGGCCCTCTGGGTGGCTGTGAAGTGAGTGAAGAGGTGGGAACATTGGACTTCTGGACTTTGGGCAAGGCACATCCTTTTGAGTCTCTGGCCGCTGAGCAGAATTTCTTCTCTGCTCCTGCCTGAGCAGGGTAGCCAAGGGCTGTACTCTGTATACAGGTAAGAGGACTTTAAAAATGAGAAACAGGCCCTTTGGAGGAAGTAGGAAGACAGCCTGAGGTCAGGGTTGTAAGGTATGAAGGCTAATGTGGAAAGAAGCACAGCTGACCGGGTTTGGCTTAGTTCAGTGGGTGATAGATGTGCCTGAAGACCATGTGCCTTCTGGGATCCCTTCATGTGGGTCCTGCCATGAAGTCTTTCTTATTTTCCCTCTCTTCCTACCCCCCCACCAACATCTCTGCTCTTTTTGTATATCTTCTGTCTGCTTTAACCCCATTGCCTTTACAGCTCTCACCAAACACCCCTTGTGTACCTGCAGCGCTCTCATCTCTTGATTCCTTCTTGTAACCCAAGCTCTCCAACTCCTTTTCTGTTCTGTTCCCAAGTTCTAAATCCCTCTGCTAGTTCTAAGTATCTTCATTCCTTCTACAGTCATTCTTACTCAAGTCAGTTCTCCTTCCTTTCTCTGTGTCCACATCCTTGACTTTGTGTTTAGTATCGTATTGTGTTTAGTATAGTGGTCACTCTCTCTCCAATTCAACCACAGGGTTGCACATGCTCTCTCTCTTGTTCCTTCGCTTGGATCCCCACCATCCTGTAACCAACGTGCTCAGCCTCTTTTTCTTTTCTTTATGCCAAATGAGCTCTGTTGTTTCTCCCTAGCCCAGTCAAGGTCCCCTGACCAGGATGTCGGGCCTGGTGTTGGGGCAGCGGGATGAACCTGCAGGACACCGCCTCAGCCAGGAGGAGATCCTGGGAAGCACTCGGCTGGTGAGCCAAGGGCTGGAGGCCCTACACAGTGAACACCAGGCTGTACTGCAAAGCCTGTCCCAAACCATTGAGTGTCTGCAGCAGGGAGGCCATGAAGAAGGTCTGGTGCATGAGAAGGCCCGACAACTGCGTCGTTCCATGGAAAACATCGAACTGGGGCTGAGTGAGGCTCAGGTAAGAGAGAGGAGGTAATGTCAAGTGACCCAGTGTAGATAAACTGTTGTCTGATTAGAGATATGGAGGCCCTTGTCTTAGATTGTTGAATTCATTCAGCAAAAATGTATTAAATTCCCTACTATGTGCCAGGCATTTGAGATACCTCACTGAGCACAATAGTCAAAAATTTGACTAAATTTTAGGCAGATAATACACAAATAAGTAAGTAGTGACAGCATGATCATTGCCAAGCATAAAAATAAAGCAGGGAAGGGGGTTAGGGAATAAATGGGAAAAGAGCATCCTTAGCAGAGCAGGTGGCAAGGACAACCTAGAGCTTTGCAGTGAGTTCAATGAGGGGCTAGTGAGACTGCAGTAGAATGAATGAGGGGAAGCAAGGTAGAAAATGCTTTCTACCTTGGAGAGGCAGTAGGACTGGGGGGCGGGGAACAGGTCAAGCGGAACTTAAAAGCCATCCATCCTGAGGACTTTGCTTTTGCTTTGAATGAGATGGAAGTTACTGGAGGTTTTTTTTTTATATATAGTTTTTTTTTTTTTTTATAGAGGCATGTTTTATTTATTTATTTATTTTATTTGTTTGTTTGTTTTGTTTATACATGCACTGGGTACAGTCAGAAGCGAGGGACAGTGAGAGAATTCACCAGAGCCAGAGCGGGGAGCAGAGCAGGCAGAAGGACCGAAGCACACTGCTGAGGGGAGCAGCGGGCGGCAGGAGAGGTCTGCGCGCCATGTGGAACCCTCCTCTGGTAGCCGGGGAGCAGCCGGGGATCGAACCGGCGCCTCAGAGGCCGCGGGCAGCTTCGCAACCCAGCGCTCAACCGCTGCGCCACCAGGGAGGCCCTACTGGAGTGTTTTGAGTGGAGGAGTGATGTGGTTTAACTTAATATTTTAAAAGGCTCATCTGGCTGCTAGGTTGAGAATAGACTCTAAGGGAACAAGGGCAAAAGCAGGGAGGCCAGGGCCTCCCTGGTGGCGCAGGGGCTTAAGACACATCCTATGAAGCTGTCCGCAGCCACTGTATTAGAAGTTCACCTCCTGGCGAGGGAGCAACCCACATGGCGCAGCAGACCTCTCCTGACTCGCCCGCTGTTCCCCTCAGCAGTGTATTTCAGTCAATCTGCCTGTTCTGTTCCCCACTCTATCTCTGGTGAATCCTCTCACACACACCCCCCCGCACCTCTGACTTGTACCCCAGTTCTTGTATGCATAATAAAATAAATCTTTAAAAAAAAAAGCAGGGAGGCCAGTGAAGAGGCTATTGCAGGAATCCAGGTAGGAATTAATGTGGCTTGACCCACAGTGGTGGCAATGGAGGTGGTGAGAAATAGGGTTCAGGGTCTATTTTGAAGGTAGAGTCATTGCTATCCAACCCCACCACCAGGCCACTGCCAATCTTACTGCAGTTTTACCGGGCTCCCCTCCCACTTCTCCCTGAATACTTCTATTCAGAGTCTGGCATTCACAGAATGTACCCCCACCTAGGTGATGCTGGCTTTAGCCAGCCACCTAAGCACAGTGGAGTCGGAGAAACAGAAACTGCGAGCTCAGGTGCGACGGCTGTGTCAGGAAAACCAGTGGCTTCGGGATGAGCTGGCAGGTACACAGCAACGGCTGCAGCGCAGTGAACAGGCCGTGGCTCAGCTGGAGGAGGAAAAGAAGCACCTGGAGTTCCTGGGACAGCTGCGGCAATATGATGAGGATGGACACACGGCAGTAAGTTTGTGTAGGCTAGCTGGGGTGCTGGCAGGGCACAGCTGGGGGCAACACTCAAAACATGGGGGCAACTGCTCCATCAGCAACAGGGGCCAGCAGTGCTGCCTAACCTAACCCCGTCTGGCAGAATTTAGGTCTTGATACCATCTCTAGATGACAGCAACAGGAAAACAGTGTTCACTCATTCAGTCAATGTTTCATTAAATGACTACTATATATGCCAGGCTCTGTACACTCCTCTGGGTATGTAACAGTGAACAAGGCAGACAGAGTTCTTACTCTCACAATTACAGGTTTGTGGGGGCAAGACAGATAAGCACCTGGACAATTCAGGATCCTAAGTGCTATAATTAGGGAAGCATAGCCTAGTTGAGCAAGGCCTTCTAAGATTTGCTCTCAAAATGTGTGAAAGTTAACCCTCACTTAACACACACTTATACATCTCTACGCCTTGGAGCAAGAAGATACGTTTAGGGGTGCTATAAAGAACCATAAAAGGATTCCTGTCAGGCCTCCTTAGTGGCCTAGGGGTTAAGTCTCAGGACTTTCACCTGAAGGCCCATCTCAATGGCCTGAATTCAATCCCTGGCCAGGGAGCTAACCCATGTACACAAGTATGGCACAGCAGACCTCTCTGTCTCGCCCGCTGCTCCCCTTAGCAGTGTATTTCAGTAAATCCGCCTTCTCTGCTCCCCACTCTGACTTTGGTGAGTCCTTTCACCCCCCCACACCTCCGACCTGTACCCCAGTTTTCTATGTAAAAATAAATGAATAAAATCTTCAGAAGTATATAAAAAGAGTTCCTGCCTTCTAAGTTTATAATACCTATAGGGCCAAGGCTTATACATAAGCACCCTTTGTGACAAGGCAAAGCAGCAAGGGTTCAGTCTGGATAAGTGGTTCTGCCAATGTGGGTGGAATTCCAGAGAGATGGGTTCCTGGGGGCTAGAGTGGTCTGAGAAAGAGTCACTGAAGAGGTGGTGTCCAGGTAGGATTTTTTCATTTCAATGAATTAGGAGTTGGGATGGATTTTAATGAATGATGAAGGAGAGGAAGAGGCTTCTAGACTCAGGAGAGGGGTTGTCACAGATGAGGCTGGAAAGGGAAAGAAGGTAGATTTACATGGGACACATTGGTGAAGCTGGACAGAGGGGTTGGGGGGTGTTTGTACAAGGCTGCAGTGCCTGGTCGGGCAAAGCAAATTTTCCTGACATGGAAGGAGGTTAGACAGTGAGGGTAGGGCACTTACCCCAGAGTGAGCAATGGCACATGATGGGGACAGGCTGAGTTAAACACTTTGGGTATGTGTCAATAAGATCAGACACACTCCCAACCCTCAGGAGAGAC